TATGGGTCGGAACTGATACAATGGCACTTAACAACAACAACATATATAAATATATATATATATACATATACACACATATATAATATATAACAATATAATATATACATATATATAAAACAATCCAGGCTTAAGCATGTAATTTGTAGAATTTGTTTGGAAAAATAATATTCTGGTTGGTTTTCTATCAATACTCAGAATCAGAAAAGGCATAAGATGATCAATGCTAGCATAGTTATTGCTGTTGGTGGTTCTATTGAGACTGTTCTGTGACCCTATGTGCAAAAAAACATTGCCCAATTGATGCAATGTTTTAGTCCATTTTTGCAGCCACCATGCCAATTCATCTCATTGAGGGTCTTCCCCTTTGTCATTGACCCTCTATTTCACTAAACATGACAGGCTCACCATTCTCACTTCCAAAGGAACATTCTTGGTATACTTCTAAAGCAAGTTTATCATTATTCTGGCAGACAATGTTATACTCAATATTCATTGCCAACAACTTAATTCAGATGCACCAATTTTTCTTCTGTCTTCTTTATTCATTACCCAGATTTCTCATACATTTGAGGTGATTGAAAAGACAATGGCTTGGATCAGGCACACCTTAGTATTCAAAGTGATACCTTTGCTTTTTAGCACATTAAAGAGGTCTTTTGCAGTAGATTTTTCAATGTAATATGTCCTTTGATTTCTTGACTGCTTTTTCCATGAGCATTGATTGTGGCTATCCAAGTAAAATGAAATCCTTGACAACTTTAATCTTTTCTCCATTTATTATGATAATGCTCATGGTCCAGCTGTGAGGATGTTTGTTAGAATGGTTGATAAAGTTTAATTACATACCTACTTACAATGCAGTAATAATGATAACTCTTCTGTCATTCAAAATTTGGAATATCATCTCTTCCCCAAGAATACTACTATACAAAATCAGGAAGGCAATTGATGTTGACTATGTTGAACATATTATTATTATCATTATTATTAAGAAAAATAATATGTGGTACAAAAAGGAATTGTGATCTTACCTACACAGGTTCTTTCATCCTCTCCTAGTACATATGGATCAGTACAGAGACACTGGAAGCTGCCCTTGGTGTTCTTGCATTCAGCAGAGGGATGGCACGGAGGATCCATCAGATCTTTGCATTCGTTAATATCTACACAAACAACAGAAAGATCATTACATTGTTTAGGGAAAGAAGATATTTTTCTAATTTCACACAGACTGCCAGAGTTTCCGTTTAGGAGGAGCTCTTTTCTACATAGAAACCAATCATCCTTTTCCTAAATACCTGTTTTTCTGTGATAGTCTTCTTAGCCCCTACACCTTTGAAAACAGAATATGAATGTTCCCTTGATACAAAACATATGGACAACCGATTCAAATGTTTGGGCTCTTCTGTATAAGCCTTCACTTTCAACTAGCCTGTTTCACAAATTGTTGTTGGTGCTTCATGTGGTCAAGTCAGTTCTGACCCATAGTGACCCTATGTACAACAGAAGAAACACCCCCAATTCTGCACCATCCTTACAATTGCTGATACGCTTGAACACTTTGTTGCTGCCACTGTGCCAATCCATATCATTCAGGGTCTCCCTTTATCACTGTCCCTCCACTTTACCAAGCATGATGTCCTTCTCCAGGACTGGTCCCTCCTGATGGTCCCTTTTAATATTTCTAAAGTACGAGAGACGAATTCTGTCCATCTTTACTTCTAAGGAGCATTCTGGTTTCACTTCTTCCAGCAAAGATTTGTTTGTTCTTCTGGCAGTCTTTGGTATACATAATATCCTCATCCAACACTATAACTCAAATGCATCAGTTCTTCTGTGGTCTTCCTTATTCACTGGCCAACTTTCACATGCATATGAGGCTATTGAAAATACCATGGCTTGGGTCAGGCCCATGTTAGTCCTCAAACTGACATCTTTGCTTCTGGACACTTTAGTCTTCTGCAGCAGATTTGCCTAATGAAATACGTTGTTTGATTTCTGGACTGCTACTTTTATGAGTGTTGATGGTTGATCTGAGAAAAATGAAGTATCTGACAATTTCAATCTTTTCTCCATGTATCGTAATGTTATTGATTGGTCCAATGGTGAGGATTTTTGTTTTCTTTACACTGAGGTGCAACCCATACCAAAAGCTGTGATCTTTGGTCTTCATCAGTAAGTATTTAAGTCCTCTTCACTTGCACTGTCAGCAAGCCGATGTTGCATCATCTGCATATCACAAGTTGTTAATCATTCCTCCTGTAATCTTGATGCCATGTTCTTCTAAATATATTGCAATTTATCAGATTATTTATTCAGCATAGAGATTGAATATGCATGGTGAAAGAATACAACCCTGGCACATGCTTTTCCTGGTTTTAAATCTTTCAGCTTCCCCTTGTTTTGTTTGAACAACAAATTGTAGATTCTGAAAGTTTCACATTGTCTTTGTTCCCAGTGCTTCAGTTTACACTAGTTCTTTCTAACATAGAGTTTTTCTTCCCCCTTCCTCTTGCCAGCTAAGATCCTAGAGTCTTTCATAAATCAGCGCAAGTTATTGTCACTTTCTAAGAAAGATGACTATGGTGGTAGTGGTGGTTGTGTGCCACCGAGTTGGTTCCAACTCTTAGCAATTCTGTATAGGGTTTCCGCAGCTGTAAATCTTTACAGGAACAGAAAGGTTCATCTTTCTCCAGATTTGAACAACTGATTTTAGGACTAGCAGCCCAGATTGTAATCCATTACAATAGGTGTTTGTTTTCATGCTGAATTCCATAATAAGTAATCATTGTTTATGACAATTAGGACTGTAATACATTTAATTTGGTTTCAATACAATTTGATTCCATTCAAACAATATGCCAGGTACTCTGCACTCATGAATATAATGATGAGCAGCAATAGAGATGCAGTTCTTGTCTTCGCAGGTAAGTGTGGAGGAATCAAGTGAGTAATTTATACCATACTGAGAGGGATGATGGGGGGATACTTCATTCAGACTCGAGTAGTCAGAAAAATCTCCCAAGAGGAGTTAAGTACTGAACAGGAGCAGAAGAATTAGTAGGATTTAGCCAAGATAGTGAAACAGAGGCATGGAATTAGAACAGACAGTGAGAGTGGGGATTGGGTAAGCATGCCTCAAAAAGAATAATTTTTTAACTAGAAAATTGGTGATTTTGTTGTCTTCATTCTATTTCAGTAAATATGTTATCATTCTTGTTTGTTTTCTGTTGGTTGGTTTTGGTTTCACTAAGACAAAGGCATTGAACCAGAAGTTTAAAACTTGATTTTTTATTCTGGTGAAGCTAGGTGAACTTTGACATGTCTTTAAAGTTTCTTGAGCCTCCATTTCCTAAACTGTAAATTAAGAATGTACTGTTGTATCTCAGGGTCTTCTGCTTGAAATCACTAAACTGATACTTGCTTTCTTAGGTTCAGGTTTTCAAATAAACTTATTGTTATAAAACATTTTCCAAATGTTTCTTTTCTGGTCAATTCTGGGAAATAAGCAGCAGAATGTCAAAAGAAAATATATACTGTTGCAGACCGTGTAGGCCTGGTCAGAAGTTCGAGGCCCTATAGGCCCGAGTGTTACAGGTCGCAGGCTCTGAGGAACAGATCTAGCCACCTGGCAGTTAATAGCAAATTGTTTTTCATCTTAGTGTCCAGTTATGTTTTACTAAATGCAGACATGAATCCCTTGATATCCACAGAAAATGTAATATTTTCCTAAAAGCCAAGACTGTAAAATTCCAAACAGGCAAAGCTCTTCCCTCAGAGAATTCATTCAAAGTAAATTGGGTGGCTCCCTGGTCTCTGTTCCAAGGACAATAGGAATGCCCTCTCTAAACTGTTTCCAGGTGCAGCCCATTCACCCAGGTGTCTCTTTTTCTGAAGAACCTGAGATGGGCAGCTGACACAATGGGAATCCTCCCAATCCTCCTTTTCCTCCCTGCATTTGAGGCTAGGTGCTAAAAGGTATGTTAATTAAGCTTGAGAAACCAAGTTGCGGTTGTGAGATTCGAACCTGCAAAGTATGTTGTAAAGTTGCCTGAATGTCTGGAAAAGTAAGATTGACAGCTGTACCTTGTCTTAGTCCCTCCTAGCTTTGTGTATAGTTCCTCCC